AGGAGTAGGAGGAGGACGATGGGAAGGAAAAGGAGGAGGACGAGGCAGGAGATAGGGGGGGGAGGCGGACGAGGAGGAAGACGAGGAGGATGAGGAGGAGGACGAGGAGGAGAAGGAAGAGGAGGAGGAGGAGGAGGAGGAGGAGGAAGAGGTAGGAGGGGGAGCAGGAAGACAAGGAGGAGGAGGAGGAGGTGGAGGAGGAGGAGGAGGAGGAGGAGGAGGAGGAGGAGGAGGACTCTTGCAGGCGCAAAGAGGCAAAACAAAACAGTGGCGCTCAACTAAGCGCGGGCCGACATGCCCTGGCCAACGGCCAAAACCATGGCCACGCGCGCAAAAGGGGGGGATCGCGGACACAAGCTGGGACCTAACCTCCGGCTTCCATTTCCCTGACTAACTCCCAATAGCGCCAGAAACGCGGAGAAGACCATCAACATACAACAAACCAAGGATCGCCCTACGCCCCGCGCCAAAATGGCGCATGGGGGTTCGGGAATCGGCGCCCCTTTGGCAACGCACGGAGCGTTGCCCAGCGCCCGCGCCCCCAAAAGCACGGCAACAGTATGCCCGCGGCAAAGAGCACTGCGACCAAGAGGTAGCAGGCGGGAAGCCGCGGGCCCTGCCACCGTGATCGGCCCCGCCTCCGTGATCGTCAACGGCGGTTCACCTCAGACCAGGAGGTGCCGCTGGGGTCTCCCCGCGCCCAGGCCGCACCTCTTGGCCGAGGTGGCAGGGCACTGCAAGCCCTGGCCTGACAGCGGCAACGGCGACAGCGGCGGCAGCAGGGCAGGGAAGGGGGGGGAGGAAGGGCCACTCTCCGGCCCAGGAGCGCAAACGAAGTCCACCCTGGAACTTAATCCAGGGCCACGCCGCAACTCTCAAAGAGGAAAGGGGCGACGGACACGACGACGGAGCGAGACACGAAGGACGATAACGAACGACCACGAACCTCCCAGAGGGAAGTGCCGCCCTCCGCCCGTCCCTTCTCGCACACGCGAGCTGGCGGGATAAGGAGCATGACATCATCGAATCCACACCGCATTCAGGCGGTGCCACACTGTGCCCAGGCTGCCCCGCTTATCCGCGGTGGCGAGGCATTTGTCCATTGCCTCGGCCTGACGGCCAAGGAAAAGGAGGAGGACGAGGAGGAGGAAAAGGAGGGGCAAGAGGAGGTGGAGGATATAGGAGGAGGAAAAGGAGGAGGAGGAGGAGGAGGAGGAGGAGGAGGCGGAGGAGGAGGAGGCGGAGGAGGAGGAAAAGGAGGAGGAGGATATATGAGATAGGAAATCGGAGATAGGAGGAGGAGGAGGAGGAGGAGGAGGAGGAGGAGGAGGAGGAAAAAGGAAGAGGAGAGGAGGAGGAGGAAAAGGAGAGGAGGAGGAGGAGGAGGAGGAAGACGAGGAGGAGGATGAGGAGGAGGAGAAGGAGGAGGAGGAGCGACGGACAAGCGAGGAGCGGGGGAAAGAGGAGGGGGAGGCCAGCGGAGCCTCGGCCCGCTCTCCGCACTCGGCGGGGGGAGGCGCCCCCCCCCGGGGCCGCGCAGGGGGGCGTGGCCCCCGCCTCGCGTCTGGCAGGCGCCGCGGGGGCGGTGCGGACAAGGGGGGGGGCTGCGGCGCCAGTGCGCAGGAGGCGTGCCGAACGCCCTGTGGGGCAGGGTGCATTTTTTTGCATTGGGGGGAGCAGGAGGAGGTGGAGGATGAGGATGAGGAGGAGGAGGAGGAGGTGGAGGAGGAGGAGGAGGAGGAGGAGGAGGAGGAAGAGGAGAAAGAGGAGGAGGAGGAGGAGGAGGAGGAGGAGGAGGAGGGGGAGGTGGAGGAGGAGGAGGAGGAGGAGGAGGAGGAGGAGGAGGAGGAGGAGGAGGGAGAAGGCGAGGAGCAAGAGACCGCAACCATCCGGCAACGAGCCCTGCGTCCGAGCGAAACGCAGAACATGCAGGTCAGAGTGTGCACGTCGATTGTTCCACGAGCGCAGGCCCTGACAAGTGCATCGACCTTGGTGTGCAGAGCCCCCCCCGTGTCAGGCAACACGCGTGCGTGCGAGGGGTGTGCCGATGTGGGCGGGGGGATTCGCGCGACCCCCCGCGCTGGGGCCGTCGGTGAAGCTCTATGCGGGGCACGATGCGCGCGAGGGGTGTGCTAGGATGGGCGAGGGGGCGGGGGGGGCGCACGCGAACCATACCGCTGGGGCCGCAAGCCGTAGGTGGGACTCGGCGGGAAGGGGCGGAAGTCATTAGGACGAGGAGGGGGCGGAGGAGGAGGAGGAGGAGGCGGAGGAGGAACGAGGTCATATGGAGGAGAATGACGATGATGATAACGTTGCTGCTGCTGCTGATGATGATGACGATGATGATGATGATGATGATGATGATGATGATGATGATGATGATGATGATGATGATGATGATGATGATGATGATGATGATGATGAGAAGGAGGAGGAGGAGGAGGAGGAGGGGAATGAAAGAGGTCACGAGGAGAAGGAGGAGGAGGAAGAGGAGTATCAGGAGCCCATGTGCATCGGCAAGTCCAGCAGTCAGCACGCGCTGAGGCGGTCGGCGGCGTCGCGGTGCATCCGCTGGTGAATCGCGCAGTCGGTCGCGCTAAGGCCTAACTCCTGCAAGTGTAGGAAATTGCCGGCCCGACGGGCACGTACTACATCACGACGATCCGTCAAACCGTAGGGTGGTGGACGTTCGTGTGGTCCCCCTCGCATGAGGCTCCGAAGCCAAGCCGATGGAGCGGGTCAGGGCGTAGGCAGTGCCGAAGAGCGGCTGCCCAATGCGAGACTTGGGCGCGTCGCCAGCAGTGGGCGGTCTCGTCGCCTCCCTCCTCGCGACCCACGCTGGTGGGGCTAAGAGTGGATAAATGCTCCCGCAGCGTCCTCCACCGCGCCATCAGGCCTCCAGGGGCGTGGACCTTCGAGAATCAGGCCTCGATGCGCTTGGCAATCCTGGTCTCAAACTCGTCGCGAAACCAGCTCTGGCGGAGGGCCCTCGCACCCTCCCGCCGTGGGCGAGGCTTCCTGTCTGCAAGACGAGCGTTGGGGACCGCACGATCAACAATGACACCAGCAGACCTCAGATTCGGAGGCCTGGAAATGGGCACCAACACCAACACAGGGGGTTGCCTCCATAGGGGGAAGATGATCCTAGATTTCGGCGTTGGTGGTAATATTTCGGTCACCTTGGAAGCCAGAACATTACCACCATCACCGAGATCGGGACCTCGGTCGAGGCACACCGCCGATATTGGTGTTGGTGTCAACCTCCAGGCCTGCGACAGATCTCGGTTCAGGCGACTGCGTGCATGCTGCGGGGAACGGGCAACCACCGTCGAGCACCGCTGGGCGTTGGCCTCGGACGTCTGCCAGGGAAAGGCGGCGACCGGCGCTGCAAAGCCAAGGCCACGAGCCCGACGGAGTGCCCCGCGCCGCGTCGCGGAGGCGGTCCAACACAACGGGTGCCACTGCGTCGACGGATAAGCGGCAACCCGACACATCGTCACGGAAACGGTGGCCCGCATCGACTTCACAGCCGTGATAAGGGGAACTACTTCGTAAAGGACATCGTGGTCTCGCATCCTGAAGCGGACCGGCGCCATGCAGCGCTCCCTGCGCAGGGCGTGGCATCCCTTGGCAAAAGGAAACCCCTGGCAGCAGAAGGCACTGGCCGAGGTAGGACAGGACGATGAGCCAAGACGTCGAGCACAGACGAGCGATTGCGTCAGGGGGAGAAGGAGGAGGAAGAGAAGCATTAAGAGAAGGAGGAGGAGGAGGACGAGGGGGAGATGTGCGGCGCTGAGGGTTCAGAGCGAGGGCCCAACGGCACAAGAGTGTTGGGAACGAGGAGGCAGGCAGGAGGGACATGGCGGGAGAAGGATGGAGGAAACAGTTAGAGGATAATGTTCTGATCATCACGGTGCTGCTGCTGCTGCCGCCACCGACGACGATGATGATGACGGCGACGAAGATGATGCCGATGATGTTGACGCTGGTGATGATGATGGTAATGGTGATATTGATGACGCTGCTGTTAATGGTGATGATGGTGATGGTAATGCTAACTCTGGTGATGATGCTGATGATGATGACGACGATGATGATGTTTAGGGTGGTGATACTGCTGCTGCTGATATGGTGGTAATGATAATAATGCTACGACTGCGACGGCTAATTCGTGTAGAAAAGAAGATACGTACGGATCATACTAAAATGGCAATAATAGCACGAATGGTATGACCAACGCTGGTAATCATTGAACACATGATAGTAATGCAATAGCTACACTGCTGGTAACAGTGGCGCTGGTAACAGTGGAAATTGCTATACAGCAAGAAGTCACAATGCGAATGAACGCGAAAACACGAATTAGGATGCTAATGCTGATGCTGATGTTGCTGATGATGATTGGTATGATGCTGCTGATTATGATTATGATTATGATTATGATTATGATGATGATGATGCTGCTGATGATGATGATGATGATGATGATGATGATGATACGGATGCTGCTGATGATGGTTATGGTGCTGACGGTAGCAATGATGGTAATGCTGCTGCTGATGATGGTGAAGATGCTGCTGACGATGGTGATGATGATGATTAGGTTGATGAGTATGACGGTGATGGTGATCGTGATGATGATGATGATGATGATGATGATGATGATGATGATGATGACGATGATGATTAGGAGGGGGAGGAGGAGGAGGTGGAGGAGGAGGATAGGATGAGGAGGAGGAGGAGGAGGAGGAGGAGGAGGAGGAGGAGGAGACATGCCTGCTTCGTCGAGGTGGCTGAGGTACATGAATATCGGGTGAACCGAACCGAAGAATCCGAGGTCTTTCACCTTCTCCACGAATCCGCCACCGCGCTGAGCAGCAGACGGTGTGTGTCGGGACCCGCGCTTGTTTCACCGGACCCGCTCCTGACGAAACAACAGCTACGCCCCACTCCCCCCGACGCCATGAGCCCAGCATGTGTCCATTTGTTGCTCTGGTTCCCTGCGCTTATGCTGCTCCCATCGTACTGAACGACCACATCCCAGAAATAATTTCGAGCACCCGGCCAAGTGTCGAAAGAGTGTCGACAGAGTGTCGAAACAGTGTCGGACGAGCCTCCCAGGGCCCGACACGTGAAAACCCTCTCGTTTCGCTACGTCTGGTGCTCGAACTAATTCTTTCTGGTGATCAAGGCTAAAGCCGGTTGGAACATCAGAACCCTGCGCTGTCGTGGCCATCTGCACAACAACGAAACCAAATGCAGAGCCCCCGGCGGGGGCATCGTGGCTTCCAGGCGAGAGCGCAGCCCAAACCACCTGCTGAGCCCCTCCCTGGGCACCATCCTGCCCGTCTTCCGAGACACGTGCATGTACAGCCGTGGCGAGGAGGGGGCCCACTCCAATGTCAAGAGAAGAATGAGGAAGAGCAGGAAGAGCAGGAGGAGGATGTGGAAGATGAGGAGGAGGAGGAGGAGGAGGAGGAGGAGGAGGAGGAGGAGGAGGAGGAGGGGAATGAGGAAACGGCACAGCGTGCAGCAGTGCAGCAGGGAAGAGGAGGAGGAGGAGAAGGAGGAGGATGAGGAAAACTGGAGGAGAACGGAGGAGGAGGGGAAGAGGGAGGGAAAGGAGGAGGATGGGGAGGAGGAGGTGATGAAGAGAAGGGAGGGGGAGAAGGAGCGAACGTCACCTGAGGGGCGCGTCCGTCCGAGAGCCACGCTACGGCTCGCCAAGCATCGGGGCGTGGCGGGCGGCGGCAGCGGCTATGTCGATTGCAATGGGGGTGGATGTGAGAATGGGTGGGAAGAGCTGGGCTGAGGGCGACGCGGCACTCACCGTGTCCTGCTTGATGGTCTTGCAGCGCTGCTCCAGCGCGAGGATGGTCGCGTGGCAGTCCTCGTCGTCGGGCAGGGCGCGGAGCAGACCCAGCATGTGGGGCACGATGTAGTCCGTGTCGCGCGTCGGCTGGTTGAGGATGTAGGTGGCGTACTCTATGTCCGAGCTCTGCGGCCAGGCGCACTTGAGGCAGGACGTCTGGTGGGGCACGTCGTTGAGGCAGCGCGGGCATACGAGGTTCTCTTCATCGGATGTCGTTCCGCTTGCGCTCGAATGCTGGTGGTGTGCGTTGAAGTCGTCGGCCCAGTCCGCGTGAGACCAGCCCGAAGCTGTGGAGTCGCAGTCGGAGTAGCTGTCAAGGTAGCCGTGGCACAGGGCGAGAGTGAACATGTCCTCCAGCGACATGTCCTCCAGCGTGTCTTCCAGCGTCAGGTTTTCCTCCAGCGAGCGCGCGATGCGGGACGGGATCAGGGAGGTTGCGACGTGCGTCTGGCGCAGCATGTTCATGGCGTTCTGTACCTTCTTCAACGAAATCTTTGGGAAGCTCTCGTCCGCGTTCAGCTGCTTGTGGACCGTGCGGTAGCCGACGTGACCGTTCTTGCGGAGCAGGGCGCGGATTCTGTTGTGCAGCGTGTCGGAGGAGGCGGGCGCGCAGAGCTGCGCGGCATCGGCGTCCAGCGGCACGATGGGAACAGACATCGCGGGCGCGTCGGGATTCACGTCGCGGACGTGGGTGGCGTACAGGGCGTTCAGCGGTTCGAGCGCGTCGGAGTCCACGTAGATGGCGGGAGGGCCGTTGGGCGGTTTGCACAGCTCGTTCCGCACGGGGAGGGGAGAACCTGAATGCGCAAGCAGCGGACGCTCCGAACAGCAGGGCTGTAGAGAGCTACCGCGGCTCGGAATGGAGGCCTCGATGGACGCGGCCACGGCGGACGGCGGGTCGATGGTCGGCGGGACGTTCGGCAGCTTGGACGGCGTCGGCAGGCTGGGGACGGCGTACGGCTCGGTGGAGTCGGTCGTGGGCGTCTGCTCTGCCAGCACCAGGTCCGAGAGCTCGTGGTTGTGGGCCGTCGGCATGTTCGGCTGCAGCTGGTTCGCGAGGCAGGTGAACTGGCTCGTGGACGCGACCTGCAGCTTGTTCTTGCGCGGCGTCGGCAGGCCGAGGACGGCGTGCGGCTCGTCGGAGTCGGTCGTGGGCGCCTTCTTTGCAAGCACCTGCAGCTGGTTCGCGAGGCTGGTGAACTGGGTCGTGGTCGCGTCCTGCAGCTGGTTCGCGAGGAGGTTGAACTGGCTCGCGGACGCGTCGATGATCGTGGCTAGGTGCTTCTGCTGGGCGATCTTCTGCTCAGCGCATTGCTCATGGAGGTCAGCGAGCTCCCGACGGGCTTCGAGTGCCTGCTGTTCGCTGGCTGCGAGCGCGGCGTGCATCTCCGTCAGCGCGGACTTGATGGCATCCATGTCACTTGGCGGCATGGGACCAGCAGCAGCGACAGGAGGAATAGCGATGGCGCGCTCCAGGGCGAGCTTCCCGACCTCGTGCTTCGCGCGGTTGGCCTTCTTGTGGATGAGCGTCGCGGCGTTGCGCTCCTTCGGGTCGGAGTGCGACATCGCGGCGAGCGTCGCCAGCCTCGCCGAGTGGTGGGGCATCCCCGTGTCGACGTCGTGCTGGGCGTGCACTTCCAAGGACTTGACGATGGTCTTGGCGCCAGCGACGAGCCAGAGCGGCACCGATACCCAGCGGCGAGTCGGTTCCGGCCAAGGGATCAGGAAGCCGCGCTCGATCGCGCGGGACCGCCGGGTGGCACGGGCTATGGCGGAATGCCGGTGGGGCATGGAGATGAAGGGGGGAGGAGGGCGCTACTCGGGGCGGCGCACGCAGCACATTCACCGAAGCATCGGTGGACTTGAGCCAAAATGGCTACGGAGGGAGGGGGAGAAGGAGGAGGAGGAGGAGGAGGGCGGAGGAGGAGGGCGGAGGGAGTAGGAGGGAGTAGGAGGAGGGAGCACGGAGGGAGGACGGAGGGAGGACGGAGGGAGGGGGAGGGAGCAGGAAGGCGGAGTCCTACGGCGCGACTTGACTGGAGATGCGCGCGGCAGCGCAGCCGGACTCCTCCTGCATGCCGCGGGGCTTGGGGCCGCCCCCCCCCCCCACGGTGATCGTTCCCCACCCCCTTTATCATCCCCGAACACGACACCTCCCCACAGAGGAGAACCCTGGCTCTTCAGTTTGAGCCTCCAGCAGCTCTCTTCCCTCGCCCCCCCCCCCGGGGGCCGTCAGGAAGCGATCCAGGATGGGAAGGCGGCCTGGGATGGGATCGAGGAGTCCGCCGCTCCGCGCCACGAAAGAGCGACGGACGTCGGACGACTGGGACTGGGGAGGATCAAGAGGGGGCTTCGCTGCCCCGATACGCAGAACGAAGCACGTAGCGTATTGATACGGAGCTCCACACGCAGACTGAAGGCGCAGGTCTGACGCGATACGCTCACTAAAACGAGGGCCAACACCTCCTCCTCCTCCTCCTCCTCCTCCTCCTCCTCCTCCTCCTCCTCCTCCTCCTCCTCCCCCCCCCCTCAGTCCTGGGCTCCATGGCGGGGCGCGCGCGGCAGCGCCACTGGACTCCTGCATGCTGAGCGATCTGCGGCGGTCGCCTCCCGTCAGCATGAGCCAGAAGCCGTCGACGTCGTTCCTGCGGAGGGGGGGGGGGCGCTGGCCAGCCCCAATTGAAGGGGCCCTGGGACACACAAATAATTGGACGCAAAGCCCAAGATCCCCCATCTTCTCCCACATTTTCTGGATGCCGGCCCCGATCGAAGGGGGGGGGGCCCTGGGACACACAAATAATTAGACGCAGATCCCAGGATTCCCCATCTTTTGTCATAGTTTCTGGAGGCCAGCCCCAATGGAAGGGGCCCTGGGACACTCAAGTAGTTAGACACAAACCCCAGGATCCCCCATCTTTTCGCATGTGTTCTGGATGTTCGTCTTCCCCCTTTTATCTCCCTCATGACCAAATGTAGGTGGCGACATCCGAACCCTGCTCGGGCCTCAGGTGGGGCATGTCCTCCTACAGACGGGCTTTGAACGACAAATGAAGAATAGTCGAAACAACTATAGTGAAACATAACCAAACATAGTAGACCAAGTTCCCTGGCTATGTTTTGACTAGTTCTGTAGATTCCTCGTGTTGAGGGACATGCCCGACTTAACACTGTCAGCCCCAATCTAGGTGGCGACACCCGAACCCTATAGCCGACCCGTATCATTAAGATGCACGAGAAGGATGCAAGGGCCTTGAACACCTATTTTGAAGCTTCTCGAGCGGGGCGCGGCCAACGAAAGGGGCCAAGGATTGACCGAGGAGGCAAGGATGCAAGGATACCCTTGGGAAGGCGGGCCATCCTTACTATGCGGGTCGACTGTACTCGGCGGCGAGCCTGGGGGGGAAGCGATAAGGAGAAGACCCTCTCGGACGGCTCGAAGGCCCCTGGCCTTCTGGGAAATTGTCTGAGCCTTCCCCGAAGAAACGGCAAGCTTCTCTGAAGGCGCGGGGGCTTCCCAGAAGTCCCGCCACCTTCCGAGAAGGCCTTCTCCTTCTCGCTTACCCCTCGTTCGCTGCCGACCTACCACCACCAACCATCGATTCTCCTAAATCGGTGGGGAGGCGGGGGTTGAGCGCGGACTTCGCCACGTGCTCGATGGATTCCGAACCCTACCCCCGCCGCCCCTGGAGTTGCCTGAATCGTTGATCGGCGAGGTTGGGGTTCGGATTTTGCCGCCGACAGTTGCGGAGGCCAAGATCAGTCTACATCGAATCGTGAAATCGGTTCGGATCGACATGTGCGTCGGATCGGGCTGCATCGGTTCGGCGTGGAAATCGAATCGGGTCGTCTACGCCAAGATGCACAACAGCGTCATGCAGCATCGGGTCGCCCGAGATCGGAGTCGTATCGGATCGAGCCGGACGAGGTCGGCATGGAATGGGAGCAGTCAGGTCTGAAGTGAACCTGGCAGGGAGCGATGTAGGCTTGCTGGAAGCTTTTCCTAGAGGGGACCCTGACCCACCCTGGGCAACGCCCTGCCTCTTGGTCTGGGTATGGCTTCCCGTCCCCTAGGCGCCCGACCACACGGTTTGAGAACTTCATGAACTCACGGATGCTCATCTTCACCTGGATCGAGGACGGAGAATCGAGGCTTTCAAAGGAGGAATATTTGCACCGGTGCCGCCACCCGCCCCTCGTTGCGGCTGGGTTCCCCTCGAAATCATTTTCAGAGCGCATCCCAGGAGAGGCCCGAGGAGTAGCGGTATCAAGATAACTCTGCCTCCCAGGCTCAGGCTTCTGCTTTACCTGCTCGCCCCCTGATCAGGGCTGGACCGACCACACTTCAGCCAAACAACCTTTCGTGAAAACGGCGCGGGACCACAAGCCCGCGCGGGCGCAGAACCACATACTCATACTTTAGGGAACCGAGCACTGTACACCGACGCCTTTGTCTGGCCTCACACTGAATCTCGCACAGGAAAGCGGATCCTGGTGTATACGGGATCCTGGTGTATACAGTCTTCGTTTTTTCCCCAGGAGAACGGGGAAAAACGTATACACCACACCAACCCGACGTCATCCCCGACCCTCAAAAAAGTCCTGGGATTGAAAAACCGCCCGCCACTGGTAATGCATACGCTCCAGCTTCCGATACTTTTCACACCACCACGATGTAGCATCTTCGTGAGGCAACAGCCTAAGATTGGCGGCGCGCAAGAAGGGGTAGGCGGATGGAGGTAAGGCTTCTTGGGAGGAGGCTGCTTCTAAGAAGGCGCCGGCCTGACATCTACAGACAAGGCCCGCGCCCTCCCCACAGGCAGGGACGCTTCCAGGAAGCCTTCCCCCCCCCCTCCTGCGCGTGGCCGACGAGAGCACCGCCCGCCAAAGCTCAACAGGCGGCTGCCAGCACTGCCGGCGCCGAGCGCGTAGGCTTAGGTCGGGCATGTCCCCCTACAGGCGGGTTTTGGTAGAGTAACTATAAATATCCACAGCATACCCAAACATAATCAAAACATGCAGAACAAACAGAAAATCGTCGCCCGACTATTTCCTGACAACTCTTGAATATTCCTCCTGGAGAGGGGCAGGCCCGACTTGAGCACGGGCGCGCAAGAGGGGGCGGGGCTGCGCCGCCCTGTCGAGAAGCCAGCGAGGGGGCCCCCGAGCGGAGGCGCCGATGGGCTCGACGGGGGCGGGGGCTCTGCCGGCCTCCCCTGCGATCTCGAGGAGCCAAAGGCAAGGGCTCCTACAGTCGGGGCGTTGACCTAAGGAGCCCTAAATAAGGAACGAGGCCCCTTTTTTTCCAGAAGTGAACCTTCGATTTCCGGTCGAAAACATAAGGACAGCCTGAGGCAAGCTGTAAAACACTTGAGGAACGCGGAGCCCCCTCCCCAACGAAAAGGGTTCCTTCTTCAAGGCCCCGACGGTACTGTCGGACTCGATTGGACAGGACACGCGAGAGGACACAAGACCCTTCCGAGGGCCACATTGCCACAGGACTGTAGAAAGCATGGGTCGCGAGACACAAGACACAAGGGTACCCTTGACTTGGCATGGTCGACCTACTATTCTGGGCCGCCTGTAGCGATCCATGGATTTGGCGCGCGGTCGCCAAATCCATGGATCGGGGGAGGTGGCCTTCCCAAAATGCGGCCAGTGCCGCCCCGTTCGGCGGGAATCTGCGATTTCCCATGGAAGCGGGACCCGTCGCTAACCCACCCCCCCTTTCATCCATGTTAGCGATCGCCTGACAGGCACCGTGGGTCGAGAAGCTTCATCCAGTGCATCCAGAGGGATCTAGACAGCTCGGCCGCTCCCGCCAAGACACAGATGATAGCCTCCTGCACCGCGCTGGGAAAGGGTCTCAAGCACGAGCTTCGAGACCGAGCAGGTTCGTCGCTGGACATCTCTGGCCCCAGCCTCGGCTGCGAGACCGCCACAAGAGCCCCCCAGTGCAGGCGGAGAAAGGACCACCTCGCAACCACTAGGATGAACAAGATCAAGAAGGGGATGAGAAGGCTGTGGGCGATCAGGAGGGCAGGAGGAGACACCAAGCAGATCTACAACACAGGCACCTTCGCGGCAACATCGCTCGGTCATGAAACCACGGGCCTCAGCAACACGCAGCTCGCCGCTGTCCGACAGCAGTGTCTGAAGCTCGCGGGCCCAAATGCGCCACCCGCAGCAGGACCCTCAATTTGACTTCGGTTGGAGACCCCACTTGGAAACTGGCCTTGGGTCCTGCTCCCGGTGCGGCATTTCATGGTGCGGACGGCCGCCACTACTCGTGGCCACGGGCTTGCACCCTTACCGTGGCTGCGGGCCCGCGGAGAGGCCCTGATGGATCAAGCCCCTTCCCGTTGGGGCAGCGTGCGTGGGCCGTGCGGCGCCATGCAGGTATCCTTGCAACGTCTCGGATGGAAGCTGGCCTCCCCGCTTGTTTTCCAACGGAGAGAAGGACACCAGTACCCTTTGACCTGCTTTTTCCCCCCGGCTTTGTGCAAAACCTGTTGCGTCGGGACTGGGAGAAGCAGCCTGCCGAAACCGCGGCCTCCAAGCTCGGCCGCCCTGGGGCCACCCTCGACTCAAGAGTCGCCTCCCGCGTCTTGTCCAGTCCGACGCTCAGCAAGCAGGAGAGGGGTAGTTTGTTAACTTTTCTAACGCAAGGCTGCTGGACGAAAGCCTGAGCCAAGGATGCTGGATATAGCACAAACTGTACGTGTGAGTATGGATCCCCCTCGGACTCCATCAGACACCGTCTTTTTGATTGTCCCCTGGCCCATACGGAGAGAGCCCAAGCCTTTGCCAATGATGACAGAGACCCGCTCCTTAGATTCGGATGCCAGCAGGCGCCAGACTTTAACATTGGAGCTCCCGAGGGCACAGGGTTGTGTAGTTGCGAATTTTGGTGCAACGACCCCACATGCTCGCAAGAAGAAACTTTCGAGGGTGATGCGTATGTCGACGGCAGCAGCGATCCGTCTCAACACCCATCTCACCACACTGCAGGCTGGGCTGTAGTCTCCATGATAGAAGGAGAACCTCACGCCATTCTTTCGGGCCAAGTAGGACATTTTTTCCCGCGAGGTTCAGGGGTGGCGGAAATGCTGGCCACTGTCGCAGCCCTCACCAGATCGCCGCTGACACAAAAAAGTCCACACGGATTACCTCGGCGCGCTTCATTTATATCAATGACATGGATACCCCAGTAAGAGTGCGCATTCAGATGTCAAGGCTCTGGTGGGCAAAACCGTCGTGTCGCCTGAGAGTCGTCTCGCTAAAGTCAAAGTCCACCAGGACTCGCACTAGGAGTTTAACGATCTGGATACTCTGAACAACGCGAAAGGTAACGACGCGCCCGATAACGCGGCCAAGAGGGCTGCTCAGAAGTTGTGCAGGCCTTCCGAGGCCGAGATCGAGTTGGGCAAATGCGACGAAAGCCGGCTCCGCCGTTTCCTGCTCTCTGCCGCGAAGATGTTACCCAAGTGGCCCGCGCTGGCCACGCGTCCAGGAAAGAAAGCCCTCGCGAAAACGCAGAGTAGAAACCCACCGATGGGAGCAGCCTCCGCTGCCTACGCCTGGGACCCAGGGGCCGTTCCCACTCCTCCGTGGCCTCCTCCTCCGCATCCTCCTGCCCCTGGGGATGCTGGCGGAATCCATCGGTGGGAGTTTGTAAATGGCCGTCGCCTCTGTACGCTGTGCCGATCCACAGCTACGAACGACGCCGAGTATCACCGAAGACGTCTCGAGCGCTGCCCTGGTTTCTGCGCTGGCCTGGCCTCGCTGGCGCAAAACCCCAGGGGTCACCGATTGTTCATGTTTGAGCACCTGCTCAACTCGAGCACGGTAATCATGTGTTTCGATTGTGGCTCATACTCCGACACGGGAACCAGGGGCCTGTTGTTTAGCGAGTGCCTCAAGGAACCGCGTTCGAACTGTGCCGGCACACAGCCGGCCAGAGCGCAGGCGCTGGCCCACCCGAGGATCGGCCCTCGTGCCCGCCAGGTGTTTCGCCCGCCAGTTCCCCTCGAACTGCTTTACCGCCAAGCGTTGGCGGCAGCCGCAGCTCCCAGCCGGTCGCCAGAGGAGTACAGACCCCACAGGGGGGTCGTGCGGATTTCGGACTCGGCAGGTCTCACTGCTGTCTGGGCGCGGGGAGCGCCGTGAACTCGAACTCATCAAGCTGTGCGATGGTCCTCCTCCTCCTGCGCCTCCTCCTCCTCCTCCTCCCCCTCCTCCTCCCCCTCCTCCTCTTCCTCCTCATCCTCCTCCATGGGGAGGAGGACCAGCGTGAGCCCAAGACCCGTCAACGATGCCGCAACGAACCCTCCCTGCAAGTTCCCTCTTCAGGGGCTCCCATCAGGATATATCTTCAGAGCGGGAAGAGCCCCGTTGGAAGACAAGCGTCCAAAAATCTTCAACCGTGCCAAACAAAGCACGCATCCTTGGAATGGAGCGCGGCGAATCAACGTGACTGTTGCGACCTGCCGATCCCAAATCGCGCCAGAGCACCCTCTCTAGGATGGCAACACCGCGAATCCTCATGACTGCCGCGCCCTGGATATTCATTCGCGCCCGAACACCATGCGTGGGAGGCCAGTCATAAGAATCAAGAATCCCTCAAGCTGTTGTCAGCTGTCACAGCGAGTGTGCGCGGAACTCTGGCAAGAGCCACCTACATTTCGAAAAGGAATCGCCTTCCACCCGGGAAGCGCTTGCAAACACATGTATAACGAGAAGATGAACGTGCGCGGCGCCACGGCAGACACCACAATTTGAACAAGAAGCGCCCTCCATCCGCGAAGCTGCTGCACATGCCTAGGACGAAGGCGCGCAGTGCTCCGGCGAGAGCCGCACTTTGACAACGACGCGCCCTCCATCTGCGAGGCTGTTGCCATCTTCAAACCTCGGGATCATCAATGGTGAGGAGGTCTCAGGCGAAACGCCCAGCCCGCCCTGCCGACCCGTCTCGGGGTGCAACAGGGAGGCGTGATTTACAAGGAAGGGGGATGGAGGAGAAGGAGGAGGAGGAGGAGGAGGAAGAAAAAACGAGCGAAAGAAGGAATGAACGGAGGAGGAGGAGGAGGAGGAGGAGGAGGAGGAGGAGGAGGAGGAGGAGGGAAGAGGCAGGAGGATGAAGAGGACTAGGAACAGGATGAGGGGGAGATTCGATTGAGGTTCGAGGGGCAAAATTGTTGGACGTTTCCTGCAATTCTAAAAGCCTCCGAGGCTCCGGAGAGCGCAGGAGACCTCCTGCAGAGGCTTCCGAAGAGCGCCAGAGGCCTCTGGAGAGCGCCGCGAACCTCTGCGTGAAGGTCCACAACTCTGGCGGAAGTATTTTGCTGCCAAGGTCACGGTGCAGCAGCAGATGGCGGTGCGCAGGAATTCCACAGCCCAGCGAAAGTCACGCGTGGAACTGCTGCCTCGCCCGCCGCCGTGGCCCCGCCAGCCCGGCTGCCACCCTGCCATAGCGCCACGTGAGTGGCCGGCTGTGCTCAGCCGGCGCTCGCCCCGCGCGCGCGGGTGACCGCCACTGAGTGTGCCCCTGGCCGCTAACGGCCGAACCATGTGTGTATATATATATATATATACACATACACGTGTCTCCGTGCGTGCGTGCGTGCGTGTGCGTGCGTGCGTGTGCGTGCGTGCGTGCGTGCGCGTGGGTGCGTGCGTGCTTTAAGTGCGTGCGTGCGTGCGTGCGTGCGTGCGTGCGTGCGTGCGTGCGTGCGTGCGTGCGCGTGTGTGTGTGTGTGTGTGAGTGTGTGTGTTTGTGTGTGTGCGTGTGTCTGTGTGTTCCGGCTCTCGCCCAGGCAGGCCCGCGCGCCTGGCCCCCGAGGGAGGAGCACGGAGGGCACGGCCGGACCCAGGGCAGAAGGACATCCCCGCAGAACGTGAGACCCTCCGCCTGCCAGGCCACAAGATCACCGAGGGCACCCTCTCTCCCAGGATGCACAAGAACATACGGCAAGCACGAAGGAGCACTGGGACACCTTCCCGAGCCGACCTCGATCTCATGTCCTGGTCCGACCGTAGAGGAGAGCAAGGAAGGAACGATGGAATGCCTGAAGGGGGGGGGGCGGGGGGCAGAATGCACTGCAGACGCACAGCGTCGAGGCGCACAACGTCGTCCACGCGGGCGACCACCTGGGGAGCAACCGTTCCAAATATTGCATCAGGAGAACGGGGGGGATACGGAATGAGGAAAGTGGAATCACGCATGCAAGTCTGTGCTCCACATGTGTGCTGGAATGAAGTTGCTTTGTGTGTTGTCCCCACTTCTGCAAAGTCGACCCTGTCCCTCTACAGGGGGAATATCCAAAAAGAGTCAAAAATATTATATGGGGACGATGTTTTAGTATTGTTGCATATTTTCTGTGTATTTCTGACCATTTTCTAGATTTCGTCCAAAATCCGCCTGTAGGGGGTTCTGGCCTTTGTGGGCCTCGGAAACGGCAGGGCCGTTTTTCCACCGTTTCCAAAAAAATGTCCCTCCAAAATGGAAACGGCAAAAAAACGGCGACCGGAAACGGCAAAACAACGGCTCCAGGATTGGAACAGGAGCCGGAACCGGTCAAAAAACGGCGACGGAATCGGTACGTCGGAATCGGCAAACAAAAACGGCAAAACGGAACCGGTAAAAAAACGGCCCTGTCGTTTCCAGGGCCCGCTAAGGTTCTGGCGTCGTGATCTGCTGCGGGGAGCGGACTTCGACTTCGGATCCCTTCCTGGTGGCCGAGTGGCCCGACGATGGCCCGCGAAGGAGAGACCTCCGCCTTGGCATGCATCGCCGCGGCGGTGGAGGCCCCTGTGACCGATGGCTGCCCCGAGCCGGTCTCCAGACCCCCTCCTCCTCCTCCTCCTCCTCCTCCTCCTGCTCCTGCTCCTCCTCCTCCTCCTCCTCCTCCTCCTCCTCTCCTGGGTTCCATCCTGGCCGTTCTTTCGGGCTGTGTCCAGCTGCGCCCATCCTGCCCAGTCTTTCTTTCCATCGTGGCGGCGACGTCTCGGCGGCGAGCGAGGGGGGGAAGCGAGAGGGAGAAGGCCCTCTCAGAAGGCGGCGGGACTTCTCAGAGGCCTTCGCGCCTTCTGAGAAGCTGTTTCTTGCGAGGCGGAAATTTATCCATATCCACCGCCTGGGAAACGACGTCCTCGTGCCCCTGCGGGCGGTGGATATGGATACATGTTGGCCTCCGGGGGCCCGAATATGTCCATATCCACCGCCTGTGAGGGTCCCCGAAAATTGATCCTCCAGGCGGTGGTCATGTATAAATTCCTGCCTCGGATTTTTGTCTTCGCGGAATGTTTGAAGGGGCCCTGGGACACACAAATAAATACACACAAATAACAGGATTCCCCATATTTTCAAATATTTTATGGGTTTTCGTCTTCCCCCCCACTTCCCATATTTTCGCATATTTTCCTGGTAGTCGACGATTCATTGTGTCTGTGTGTTTTTTCTCCTCCTGAACCCTGTGCACCCGCACAATGGAAAATACAGGAGAGTGGCTGCGCATAGGAGAGTCGGGCCGGGCGAAAGGGGGGGGTAGCAAAAGGGGGGTTTGAGAATCAGCTCGCGTAGCTGATTTTCCCGGCGCCTCCCAGCGCCAGAGGCGGCTATGTATCGAGGAATTGTCCCCTCGGTGGGGCCGAAACCAGCTGCATGCAGCAAATTGCGTAACCCCCTCCTTTCCCAATCCCCCCCTCCCGTCCGGCCCGAAAGAAGCGGGGGTCGAAGGCCAAGCACGAGGAAGGCGAGGAGATCGAGAAGGAACACCTCCGCACCGGCTTGTGCGTCGAGGCGTCGGAAGGGTCTGCCCCCCCCCCCCCCCCCCTGCGACGCCCACCTCGTTGTAGGCGCATATCAGCAAGGAGATCGTGTCCGCCACCTGGCGCGCGCCCACCCCAGGGGGAGGCAGTTCTGGGCGCAAGCCAGAGGCCCTGGAGCGCAAGTGGTCGCAGGGCTGGACGGGCCGCCCGCGAGTGCTTGAGCAGGACCACCCGCGGGCTTCTGATGCGCCCCAGCAGTGCCTCCAGATGAACCGCCTCAGGGCGTCAGGGAGGAGGGGGGAGGAGGAGGGGGCAGGAGGGAGGAGGGGGGAGGAGGAGGGAGGAGGGGGGAGGAGGGAGGAGGAGGGGGGAGGAGGAGAGGGAGGAGGAGGAGGGAGGAGGAGGGGGGCAGGAGGGACAGGAGGGAGGCCAGGCTAGGCTGGGGTGGGGGCGCCCCAGACGGGGCATCCACGCCGGCGCACTAGCGACCGCTCAGCGAGCCCCCGCCGCCCCGGGATGAAGGAGGAGCTCTGCACCGAACACCCCAGTGAGTCTCAGAGGGAGGGGGGGGGACAGAGGCCTCTTCGACGCAGGTGGGCGAGTGAGGAGGGAGGGAGCGAGGGAGGGAGAGAGGGAGTAGTGGGAGAGGGAGGAGGGAGGAGGGAGGAAGTGGGAGGTAGGAGGTAGGAGGTGGAAGGAGGAGATGGAGGAGATGGAGGAGGAAGAGGAGGAGGAGGAGGAGGAGAAGGAGGAGGAGGAGGGAGCAGGACGGATGTGAGGAGGAGGAGGAGGAGGAGGAGGAGGAGGAGGAGGAGGAGGAGGAGCAAGAGGAGGGAGGAGAAGGAATCCGAGGATGGTGATGATGAGGATGAGGATGAGGATGAGGATGAGGATGGGGATGAGGATGAGGATGATGCTGATGATGATGATGATGATCATGATGATGATGACGATGATGATGATGATGATGATGATGATGATGTGGGCAACTCTCGAGGCCAGGGGGTCACTTTTTGTGCAAAGGACACGGCAACAGGCGAGGACGGCGGAAGCATGCTGGCGCCATGCACCAGGAAAGGCATTCTAGAGCGGGACAAAGGGTGGGCGGGAGAAGCTTGAGAATGGTAGTGCGGCCCGAAAGAGAGCCACAAAAAGCCGCGGGCAGCAATATGTGGGCAACTCTCGAGGCCAGGGGGTCACTTTTTGTGCAAAGGACACGGCAACAGGCGAGGACGGCGGAAGCATGCTGGCGCCATGCACCAGGTACTTAGGCTAGCCCATCACACTGGCTGAAAGCCGCATTGACTGAATTTTCACACAGCTTTGATCTGCTGAGCGACGTAGCGAAGCGAATCAACACTGAGAGCCATCCTGTCGCAGGCACATCTTAGAACATTGACGGGGGGCCGCAGCGCTTTGCTGCGGACCTGACGATCTAGAGATGGGATGCCGAGCTCGCCAAGATGTCGTTTCCCAGATCGACAACAGAGCGAGTCGGCAGGCGAACAGATAGCAGAGAGAGAACTCATGTCCTTAACATGCCAGCTCACCAATCGAAATCTTCTCTTTACACGGCCAGCAAACATACATGCATCAAAAGCAGCAGCAGACGAACACTGGCTAACAAGAGCGGCGCAGGCTGGGACATCCCAGATAAAAGACGCATCTGGATGGCACAGCGTGGCAGGAACTTTATTGCTGCTACATAGTGACAGAAGGCGCACGTACTGACTGCAAAATAGATTCGCAATGTGAATTGATCGAAGCTGGGCACTAGACAAAATCGGCAGGCCGTTGGGACGAGTTATGCTACGAACAGCGGGCTTCTGAGGAAGCCAAGTAGTCGTGTCGGGCTCCACCCACACGCACGAAATGCAGCCTGCACGGATCCAGCCTAGCACACGCTTCATCACTAAAGGATCTGTGATGTCATCAGTGGCCTGGCGTCTCACGTTTAAGTGCAGCACGCCGAAGCCGAGGCGCTGCAGCGCGCGAGCCGCGCCGCCGTCGCCGCCAATCACCAAGGCGGGCAGGTACCTGGATCGCGTCGCCGCGCGCCTGGCTGCACGCCAAATCCGTGTCAGGCGGAGGCCCACCGCGCTGTCACTTGCGGAGGCGAATGCCTGACCGCTGGCGGTGTCGGCGTCGCGGCAAGCGGCCGTCGCAGCGAGAAGACGCCCGTGGTGGTGGTCTGCAGCATGAGATCGTTCATCAGCGAGTCCACCCCGTGCCCACGGCCGATCAGGATCTGGTCTAAAGTGGCAATCTGCTGCGCCACTCGAGCCCTCTTGGTGTGGCGGGAGAGGCTCGGGTCCGTTCTCCACTGGCCGCGGTCCTTGACTTCCTCCCTGGTGCAACGACGGGGTAGGCAGTCGTCGGCCGCACCCCCATGCCGACCCTCTGTCTTCCCAGGGCGATCGAAGCAGGCGCCGTAGACGATCAGGGCCAGACGTCCGTATCCGAGAGTGGCATCGGGTCTTGGTCGAAGAACGCCGCCCGCTGACAGGCGATAGGCCGCGTTGGTCGTCGGGTAGGTGTCGATCATCAGCCTGATGAACACTGCCATGCCGAAGAGCTTCCACGAACCGAGGACGCCCACCATGGAGGCCATCGCCGCCCGTGGAAGAGAGGGTCGCATCTGCGGGGGCGCGAGCTTCCGCCAGCCTGTCAAGGCGCGAGCCGCACGCGTGGACAGCGCCGTGCCCACCATAGGCGGGCGCAGGTAGTGCTGCACTGAGGCGAGCAAGACTCGGCCCGTAGCATCGTCGAAACTGACCAGAAAGAGGTTCACGAAGTAGGTAACTAGGATGACTACGACCTCCGCCGCTGTGGTGATGGTCTGGGGCGTCTGACGGCACCACTCCTCGAACTTCTTGACCGCGCCCCAGTCGTTGGCCATGGTCGTGTCCGACACGGCGGCTGACTCGACGACCGAGAGCGCTGCCTGCCCGAGCCGTTCTGGCTTTGGCGGCGTCTTGGTCCTCAGCTCCGTCGATGTCGTGGCTCGGTGGCGGCGAAGCTCGGGGGGCCGCCGCCTGGTACTCGTCAAAGGTCGGCCCGACAAAGAAGCCTGTCCTCGACGGCGAGTCAGCGGCATTGCTTTCGCTAGGGATCCATCGCACTGCGTGACGAATGCCTGAGGCTGCCGACAGGGCGCAGAGGCGACGTAGCGGATCACGAAGCCCTCGGGCGCCAGAACGTCCCTTGCCAGCAGCGAGGGCTAGAGCCAAATTGTCGACGGTGAACAGGATGCGATGATGCCGAAGCCGTCCAGACCGAGCCGAGTGTCGCATCGCAAATCCAATAGCCTCCGCCTCGTATCGCATGATGTCCAGACCGAACCTAGCATGACGTGCGCTATGTATCGTAGCCCAGCCGTCGAGAGCCGTGATCGAGTCGGGAACCTCGTCGAAGCCGTCCAGCGAAACCTCGTCGATCCCTCGATGTGATGATAATGCGGTAATCGGGGGCTTGCTATGGGTCTCGGGAGGCCTCGGGCACTGCTCGCAATCTTTGAGGCAGTTGTTGCTCGCGGCCGCTTCCAACACAACGTTCGGGTCGACTCCCAAAGGGTGCGCACGAGCGCGCACGGCATCGGAGAAGCGGTAGCGCCATCTCTCCGACAATCGCCCTGCGGCTGCAGCCACGTCCTGCTCAACGGTCTTGCGACAGACGCCAATGCCGTAGGGAGAGGCGTCGCTGCAGAAAATGGTGGCCGCCCACTCTGCCCTGACATCAGCCCACCACAACGGGATGAGGGAAGCAGCCGCGCGAAGTTCAGCGACGACTGACGGCCACAGCGGCAAAGCCCGACGGGAGTCCTGACCCATGAAGCGGTAGACTGCATGGAAGATCGACAGCATGGGCCTGTTGGTGATCACCCCCCAGGTGCAATGACCGACCACGGCGGACAGCGCAAGCGGCGATGCATAGCCTCGTCTGAGTAGACCGAGGAGGGCCTGGCGCAGCCTGCACAACCGGTCCACCTTGCACCTGATGACGCCCACGTCGCCCAGGATGTCGAGGCCTGTGAAGGTGACGCGCGGCGCCGCGGGAGCGAACTCGTCCACGGGCAGGCCCCTCGCCACCAGCACGTCGCGGATGGCCTGGCACGAAGCGGTGGCAACCTCTGGATCGAGAGACACGGTGGCGAAGTTGTCTACGTAACCCGCTGCGATGATGTCGGTATCGTTTCGCAGAGGACGAGGTGCTGCACCGTCCACCAGCATCGCATCGTCATCGATCCCCGCGTCGCGAATGGCCGCGGTTAAAGCCGACTGGCAGAAGTGAAGAGCCCACGACCATCCCATCGGCATCACTGACACGAACGGCTGTAAAAAGGCCTTCGTCGGGATCTTGACACCATTGATCACCTTGAGGCCCGCGTACCGATTCGGGACCACTGGCAAGGAGAAGTATCGGTGCAGCTGGGGCGGCAGCTTCATGTGATAAAAGGCGCACTGGATGTCACCCTGCGCCACGTAGAAGTCATTCGACGCCTCGAGGGCACTCCATGCCGACAGAGTCGGCAATCTCGTAGAGGGAGGGGCAGAGAAGGACATGTTGGCCACCCGCGTATCAAAGACGAGCCGCAGGTTGACGCCATTCGACTTCTCGACGAAGAAGAAACCTGTGGAGTACGCCGCCTGACGTTCGGCGACTTCCCACTCTAGCATGCCCGCCTGATCCAGGCGCAGCAAAAAATCAGCATATTCCCGAGGGCGAAACCGCAGGCGAGGATCCACGTATGGCGACCCGATGCCTGAGTTCATCCTGAGAGCGGCTGTTTCCGCAGGGTCACGTAGCATTTGTTGCCTCCACCCTGACAACGTTGAACGATCGGCGTCGGACACGAGATCGGCCGTGGGAACGGGGGCCACGTGCTTCGGCCAGGAGACGAGCTCCTTGTCGTAGGGTCTCACCCGAGACTCACCAGAGCACCCCGGTGCCGACGCGAGCAACTCTGCTAGGGCTGCCTCGCATCTGGTAGGAGATTCGGAATATCCAGAGGAGAGTTCAAAATCGCGAAACTGTTGAGCAAGGCACTCTTCAGCGTCGCTGCGAGCGCGTGGAGGAAGACCTGGAGGCGGAGCAACCATGTCATCAGGGTCGCAGTGGTACATGTCGTTGAGGGTTGACACAGCATCGTTGTACCACTCTCTCCAGGCAGCACCTTTTGCAGCCCGCCCGCGGGCTGAACCTCCCATCGACGCGATACCAGATCGCCGCTCCACAGGGATAGGACGGAGAGGGAAAATGTCTCGCTGCCGCCATTGATGAGCAGCGATGGGGCAATGTGCCTGACCGGCGCCACTGGAGCGCGCCCCGCAGCCAGGCCTGGACTTCTCAGACGTCATGGCGCCCGCAAGGCACGCTCCTCACGTGCCTTGCGACGTTCTTTGCTGATGGCGGCCTCCGCCCGCATCTGATCTGTAATGTACTCAAGCAGCTTCGGCGAGATGCACAGGTTCGCCTTGGAGACGCCCGCGCCGAGGAAGTAGCTCGTCTCGGGGATGCTGGAGGCAGCGGCCGTCGCACCACTCCTAGCTCCAGACTTGGCCTTGGGAGCGGCGGCCGTCTGGGGCAGCGAACGACTCTCGTACACCCGCTCCTCCAGCAGCTGGAGCTGACGTGCGACGATCTCGAACGACGCCATCTCTGCCACCTGCAGCTGATCGTAGACCACGGCGAGGTCCAGGACCCGACACAAGGTCTCGTGGAGCTTGGCGTGCTCGTCGTCGTCGGCCAAAGCCATGGACGTGAGCCAGCGCTGATGCCACGCGGTGGGAGTTCCCGCCATGGTGGACATGAAGGACAGGCACCAGAGAAGCGTCCGTGGGCCCTGGACTGGCCAGCCCTGCACCTCGGTCTCGGAGAGGCCGTTCACCGTCTCGCCGAACCTCCGCTCACGCTCCCCCCGCAGGTTGATCGCCATCGGCAGCACCCTGAAATCGCCAGCGGGCGCGGGGGGCGGAGCGACCGCGGCAGGACCGCCAGCAGCAGCTCCAGGCACGTGCGCCAGCGGCGGCGCCGCGGCAGGGCGAGGTGGCACGGGTCCTAGCGCAGCGGCGAGCGCCGCGACTCCTGGGACGGCGCCAGGCGGTACGGGAGCAGCAGGACCAGCCGCAGGTGGAAGTGCGAGAGGCGGCGCCGGCGGCGCCGCGGCCGCGGCAGCAGGGTCGGCCAGAAGGAAGGGTCCTGGAGGCGCGCCCGCCGCTTTGCCCGCCGAGAGAGCCAGAGGAAGAGGATCTGGTGGCATTGGGTAGCCCGCAGCCACTGAGCGACCCACGGCGGCCCACAGCTCCGCGGCGGACGGCAAGCGCCGAAAGCGATGCACGGCGGCGCCGACCAGCGCGGCAGGCGTGTCGCCCTGGCCAACCAACGGCAGCACCGCCCGCACGTCGGGCCCAACCACGATCGGCTCGTCGTAGTCGTCGAAGTCGGGCGTGACGACGTAGGCGAACCCCGCTGTGACCCCGAGCACCAGACGCTCGTGCCACAAGGCCACACCGCCGACGCGGTAGCGTATGGCGTGGAAGCTCCCCGCCATCACTGCAGCGCTGGGGCTCTGGCGCGAGCGAGGCGCACCTGCTCGGCAGCGAGGACGGCGATGTCGATCACCGCCGTGGGGAGCTCGCCAACCGCAGGCTCGAGAAGCGGTGCGAGCGCGCGGCGCGCCAAGAAGGCGCCTGCCCCAGCGCCGACGGCGAGCCCGACCGTGCAGGCGGCCACCGCGTAGGCCGCCACGAGGCCCGCGCACGAGGGCTCCACCACCTGCCCGCCAGCGCCCGCGCACACGCAGGAAGGGCAAGCCAGGGTCGGCGGCGCAGGGCACGCCAAATGCGGGGAGCAGTCCCCGCAACTGGGCGCCGAAGCGCGCGCCACCAGCGAGGCCCCAAGCGCCTGCGCCCCAAACCTCAGGACGTCCGCTGCATGGTGGGCGAGGTCCTGCATTCCAGGACAGGACACCTGAGAAGCTTGAGAATGGTAGTGCGGCCCGAAAGAGAGCCACAAAAAGCCGCGGGCAGCAATATGATGATGATGGTGATGGTGATGATGATGAGGAGGAGGAGGAGTATGATGATGGTGATGGTGATGGTGGTGATGATGATGAGGAGGAGGAAAAGGAGGATGAGCGATGATGATGGTGATGGTGATGGTGGTGATGATGATGGTGATGGAGGATGAGCGAAAGCGAGGAGCGAGGAGGGTGGAGGGGAGGAGGGCAGCAAGCAAGCAAGCAAGCAAGGAAGGAAGGAAGCAAGCAAGCAGGCAGGTAAGCAAGCAAGCAAGCAGGCAGCATGGGGGGGTCGCGGGGAGAGTGGCCGCGGCAGGAGAGGCGAGGGGGGAAGCGGGAGGCGGGAGGAGGAGGAGGAGCAGGAGGAGGAGGAGGAGGAGGAGGAGGAGGGAATTGCAGCGACGAGAAGGGAGAAAACGAGGGTCTCTCTCTCTCTCTCTCTTTCTTTATTTCTTGTTCTTTCTCTCTCTCTCTCTCTCTCTCTCTCTCTCTCTCTCTCCATCTATATGTACAAAAACACATATCCATATATGCAGGCCCTCGCTCCTCCCTCCTCCTTTCCTCACTCTTTCCTCCCTCCTCTCCTCCTTCCTCCTTCCCCGTCTCTCCTCCATTGGGCCGCCCTTTCCTCCCTCTCCCCCCCCTCTTCTCATATAGGAGGCTGCGCAGGCGGAGGACACGCACGGGGAACCTTCTCTACATAAAGTCGCGGGGGCCCCCTACAGGGGGATTTTCAACGAAAAATTACAAATACCCCGAAAATAATCCAAAAATGCGGAAACTAATAATAATCAGGGAACCATTTTTCGAGAATTTTTTTTTTTACCTTTTTGGGGGCATTTTCTCTGTATTTTTTATAGTCGCGGGAGCCCCCCCCGGCTTCGAGGCCCCGGGCCCCGGGGGGCCCAGGCCCGAGCTGAGCGCCCAGAGATCCGACGCCGTGATGTTGTTCAATGCCAAGGGCTCCCAACTTCGCGCTCCGCGCTGCGCGGAGCGCGAGGTGCGAATGACTTCTCTCTCTCGCGCCGCCTCCCAGGCAGGGGAGAAGAGGAGGATGAGGAGGGATCGGAGCCGAGCCGCGAAGCGCGAAGCGCGAAGAGCTGCCTACCCTCGAGGGCGCCCTTGAATACGCGGTCCCCGGAGGTCTCGACCCATTCCCCAGGACCGGTTTTTCATCCCGAGTTGTTTCTTGACGGTCCAGAGGCCCGGCGAGGGCCCCTATGTGGGCCGAAGTTGGCGAAAAACCGCCGTCGCGGATTTTTCAAGGCCCGATCGGCCGGGGCACGGGCGCTCGATAGTCTGGCCTGCGGCCCGGGGTCTGGCGCCGGAGAGGCCCACATGTGAGGGCCACGCCCCAGGCGCCCGGGGGGGGGGGGCGGAGCGCAGTGGGCACATGGCAGCGGCACGAAATGAGCTTCCTGTGGAGCTCGAGCCTGGATCCTCCTCCTCCTCTTCCTCCTCCTCCTCCTCGATCCTCGATCCTCCTCCTCCTCCTCCTCCTCCTCGATCCTCCTCCTCGATCCTCCTCCTCGATCCTCCTCCTCCTCCTCCTCCTCCTCTTCCTCCTCCTCCTCCTCCTCCTCCTCCTCGATCCTCCTCCTCGATCCTCCTCGATCCTCCTCCTCCTCCTCCTCCTCCTCCTCCTCCTCCTCCTCCTCCTCCTCGATCCTCCCAGGTCCCCCCCTCTCTCCTGGGTCCTCGATGAACCTCCCTGGGTCCTCCTCGTCGGTTCTCGATCCAGATCCTGGGCCATCCTCCTGTCTAGGGGAACAGAGGGGGCTGGTGCAGGATGAGGGAGGCGTCTCGCATCAACGAGGACATGTTACTCAGCTTGGGGAGGGGCCTTGTCTAATAGAGGGTGCTGCGGAGTAGAGGGGGCCTGTGCAGGAGGAGGGGCACGTTTAGCACCCAGCATCTTGTTTTTGTCTAGCAGCATTGTTTCGGAGAAGCCCTGTTTTATAGAGGTTGCTGTGCAGGAGGAGAAGGAGCACGTCTGGTATCAAAGGAGCTGTTGAAAGCAGCTTCGGGAATGGTTCGCCTAGTTGAAGGTGCTGCGGCGGAGGGGGTGGCATGTCTAACACAACAGCAATGTTGAACAAGTCAGCTTGGCCTTGCACGAACGATTTGGTAAATCAACGAGGGATGGACCTTGCCCAACAAAGTTTGCCGCGCAGCACCGAGGCCCTTTCAAGAGGGAAGGGTACGCCTTGGGGAGGTATCTTTGGACGCAGCTTGGGGAGGTATCTTGGACTGACAGGTGCTCCGCAATAGAAGACGCCTGTTAAGAAGGAGGGGCACGTCTAGTATGAAAGGAGCTTCTTGCATCCAACAGGGGCCCGACCACAAGACTCCATCCACAAGAAACCCAACCCTGGGACCCAAGAACGTCCATGGATTTTTTCGGTGTGGGAACGTCGCGCTCTCCATCGAAAAACCATCGAAACCCAAGAACCCAGGGCACCCTGGAGGCAAGGAGGGTGTTGCTTGGCATGGGTATCCACTGTAAGGTTTGGGAGGGGATCGCTCCGCAGAGGGTGTGCAGTGCAGCAGAGGGGGCCTGCCAGGGGAGAGGGGCACGCCTAGCACCAAGGTCACCAAAGTGCTGTCTTTCTAACCAGTTTGGGGATGGGCCTTGTCCCATTGCTCCTCGTCCTCCTCCTCCTCCTCCTCCTCTTCCTCCTCCTCCTCCTCCTCATCCTCGTCCTCCCTCCTCACTCCTCCTCCTCCTCCGCCTCCTCCTCCTCCTCCTCCTCCTCCTCCTCCTCCTCCTCCTCCTCTTCCTCCTCCTCCTCCTCCTCCACCTCCTGATGCTGTGTAGCAGAGGGGGCCTGTGAAGGGGGAGCGGCACGCCTAGCACCAGGGAGCGACTCAAAACAGCGTGGGGAGGGGCCTTGTCTCACAGATCGTGCTGTGCTACAGAGGGAGGCCTGTCAAGGGAGAGGGGCACGTCTGGTATCAAAGGATTCTGTTGAATCGGCTTGGGGAGGAGCTTGCCTGGCAGAGGGTGCTGTGCAGCAGAGGAGGCCTGCGTAGGAGAAGGGGCGCGTCTGCACCGAGGAGCTTCTCTGACTGTGCCATGGGAAGGGCCTCGTCCAATAGAGGGTGCTGTGCAGGGCGAGGGCCTGGTCTAGCACCACGGAGTTGTTGCTTAATCAGCAAGGGGAGGGGCCCTTGCCAAATAAGGGCGCTGTGCAACCAAGGAGACCTGTGCTGAAGGATTGGCGCGTCTGAGATAGAATACCTTGTTTCATAAGCCTGGGGCGGGGCTTGCCCAGCATTGGGTGCTGTGCAGCAGAGGGGGGCGTAGGAGCAGGGGCAGTGTCTCATAGAAGGTGCTGTATAGCAGAGAGGGCCTGTAAAGGGGGAGGGGCACGCCAAGCACCAAGGAGCGCGCCTAGCGTTAGGTCGGACGTGTCCCCCTTACAGACGGATTTTGGACTAAAAATTCAAGAACAAACTCAAACCATATTCAACAATTGTCAAACAAGCTAGAAATATCGTCCCCGGATTATTTGTTTGACTATTTGGGGATATTCCTCCTGCGGAGGGACGCGCCCGACTTAAGCCTAGCACCAAGGAGCACGCCTGGCACCAAGGAGTCGCTGTTCGAATCCGCGCGGGAAGGGGCCCTGTCTGACAGGAGGGTGCCGTGCAACAGAGGCACGTGCAGGAGGAGGGGCACGTAAAGAGCCATGGAGGAGGAGGAGGAGGAGGAGGAGGAGGAGGAGGAGGAGGAGGAGGAGGAGGAGGAGGAGGAGGAGGAGGAGGAGGAGGAGGAGGAGGAGGAGGAGGAGGGAGGAGGAGGAGGGGAGGAGGGAGGAGGAGGAGGAGGAGGAGGAGGAGGAGGAGGAGGAGGAGGAGGAGGAGGAGGAGGAGGAGGAGGAGGAGGAGGGGGAGGAGGAGGAGGAGGAGGATGGGGACGAGGAGCGAGAGGTGGTGGAGCAGGAGGAGGGTAACGACGGCGCCGAGAAAGACAAACAAGAACTAAAGGGCAGGAACAGTAAATACGAGGAGTCGGGGAAGGCAGGAGGCCTGCAGCTCCCTCTGCTCGCCCATGTCGAGGAAACTGAAGATGGCTTCGGCCCGGTCCTGTCTGGCGGCGCGCAAACGGGGGCACAGTGGAAACCCATGCCAAGAAACACCCTGCGTGTTGCCTCCAGAACGGCCTGGGTTTCTTGGGCTCCGATGGTTCTGCTATGGGACGCGCGACAAAAAATCAATGGACGCCCTGATGTCTCAGGGGTTGGGTTTCTTGTGGAAGGTTTCTTGTGGTAGAGCTCCTACTATGGGGGGAGGGGGGGAGGCTTCTCAGAAGGAGGCTGCTTCTTAGAAGGCGCTGGTCTTGTATCTACAGAGAAGGCCCGCACTCTCTAAGAGCCAGGGGTGCTTCTAAGAAGTCTACGCCTCTCCCCCTACGTTACGTACCCCTCCTCTGCGCGTGGCCGACCTCTTCCCGCGCGAATCGGAGCAACTGGCCGCCAGCGGGGGTAGCCTCCAGAGGCCTGGCCTCCACGAGGTCTCTGGAGGCATCCATAGGAGAGCTCCAGAGACGCCTCCCGGGGCCTCAGACGCCTCCGAGAACCTCCAGACCGCGACTCCCGACGCATCTGGGGACTTCCCGAGTCCTCTGGACACCTCTGGGAGCCTCCGACTGGACCGTGTCGTCGCCGTCGCCGTCGTCGCCGTCCCCACGTTCGTTGTCGCCACCGCCGTCGCCGCCATCATCGTCGCAATCGTCGTCGTCGCTGGCGTCGTCGTCGCCAGCTGAGGAGGAGGAGGAGGAGGAGGAGGAGAAGGAGGAGGAATAGGAGCAGGAGGAGGAGGAGGAGGAAGAAGAGGAGGAGGAGGAGGAGGAGGAGGAGGAGAAGGAGGGGAAGGAGGAGAAGGAGGAGAAATAGGAGGAGGAGGAGGAGGAGGAGGAGGAGGAGGAGGAGGAGAGGAGGAGGAGGAGGAGGAGGAGGAGGTGGAGGAGGAGGGAGGAGGAAGGAGGAGGAGGGAGGAGGGGAGGGAGGAGGAGGAGGAGGGAGGAGGAGGAGGAGGAGGAGGAGGAGGAGGAGGAGGAAGGAGGAGGAAGAGGAGGCGGAATAGGAGAACAGAGGAGGAGGAGGAAGAGGAGGAGAGGAGGAGGAGGAGGAGGAGGAGGAGGAACGAGGAGGAGGAGGAGGAGGAGGAGGAGGAGGAGGAGGAGGGAAGGACTCTTTGACTCTTTGATAGCGGACGCTGTCCTGGGGGGCGATTTAATCACTGGAATCGCTTCCATCCCCAGCCCGCACGGGCTGGGGTTCCTGGGCCTGGCCAGGCCTGGAGGGAGCCGCGCGGTCCAATAACCCCGCTCCCGTCTGAGCCCCCGAAGGCCCAGCAGCCTGGCCAGCCAGGTCGGACCCTGGGTTTTCCGATTGCGGACTCCTGAGCATGGCCGCCACGTCCGCGCAGGTGGCTTCATCACGAGCCCTAGTGGCCTCTAAAATTGCCTTCGGGGGGCCTTCACGACGCGGGAACAAACCTTTGCTTATCCTCGCTAGGTTTTCCGAACCTTTGTTGGTCCGTCCGTCACACCTGCCAACTAAATTCCTGGGGTCCACGGTGCAATAAGAACCGCACTCCGAACAAATGTGAAGGAACAATTTCTCCACATACTGGAGCCTGTGAGAGGGGTGAACCTTTTCCAGGAAGCCGCTCCCTCGGGCTGAGGGGGCGACCCTCTCTCCAACAGCGGCCTGGGAGCCTCTCCTGACTTCGGCAGGAGGCCCTGAACATGTCGTGGCCGCAAAGACCCGCGTTTGGTAGCGGGGAACAACTCTCTCACAGACTGTGCACCACCAGTATTTCATGCTGCGACCACATGGCTCGAGGATGTGGTCCGAGGCGTGTGCCGCAGCCACCAACTTGGACGGTCTCGACTCCTTCTTCAAAGGGGGTCTCTCCGCCCGAGTGTTTTCCTCGGCCTCCGCTGCACACGCCAGGGCACGTCTGGCCCTTCGACGAATCAACGAAGCTGTGGCATCAATTTTGTCCGTCTCAGGCTCCCGCCCCACCAACCCCCTCCACGCCAACTCCGCCGCCCCCCCCGCCCACGAATCAGCGCAGGCGTTGCCAGAGGCATAAAAGAGTTTCTCGAGCGTGTCTAACTTCTCTGGGGCCTCCTCTTGGTGGGAGGGGAACCAAACAACTTCCACATCTGGATTCCTCCTGGCCTGGAAGGCAACGCGGGCCCTGGTCCAGAGGTCTCCGTTGGCACCCACAGGGTTGGGCCTTCGAAAACGGGCCCTCCAGGTCCTGGAGATCGTCTTGTGATCTGTCACAAATGTGAAACCCAGCTCTGAATCGACTTGCTCTAACGCCAGGCAGAATGCTAAAACTTCGGCTCGGGGGACCGTTTGCTTTTCTCCGGGCAGAGGAACCCCGAGAGTCTCCCCCAAGGTCCACCCGCCTCCCGAATCACTCACGAGCCCCACGATCGCTGCTCCGCAGCGTCTCCGTCTGGGGTCGTCAGAATATTTGCCCCCCGGGCCGTCGCCGAAAACGTGAACTCTGCCTGACTCCGTGCATTCGGCGAAGCCGTGTGACTTAAAATCCAACTGCAGCTGGCCGAGGAGCGCTTCATCGAACTCAGGAGTGGTGAGCCCAACGGCTGGTACTCCCCGAAGCCAAAGAGCAGGCGACGCCTCGTGCTGCGCCGCCGCCTGTACCACAAGCGCCTCCGACTTCACGAATCCTCGTGCCCCTTGTTCTGCTCACATTCCCAAATGCGGTGATACAAACTCTCTTCTTTGAGCTGGCAGCGCGGGCAAAGCTTGGAATCAATAAGGTATCCTTGTCTGGCGCGCCTCACTCGGGTCCATTGCCCACCTGTGGTGACTATCAGGTTGAGTGCCGCCAAATCTGAAGCTCCTTCATTGTGGAACTTGCGCTGCTCTGCCCTGACTCTCCATACATCCGCACCTGGGAGCAGGTCCGCTCCATCCTCGTGCTTCGGCGCCTGCTGCCAGTACAAATTGCGCATGTCGCTGACCACGTCTGCCAAGATGGCGAGTCTCTCCCAATCGTTCGTGTACTCCGTGTCAGTGTCGCTGGGGATAAGCCAAGCCTGCAACTGTCCATCTGGTAGTGGTCTGTCCCACTCTGTCGCCTTGATGGGGTTCCAGCCTATGTCCATCAGCGTGGCCTGCAGCGTGGCGATCGGGCCTCTGACATAGGCCCACCTCCTCCGTCCAGCCGTGATCAATCGCTGTCTGATCTCGGTCCAGGCTAGCTTGACTCTCGCGTGGATCTGAGGATTCATCTGCCACATCGCCAGCCACTCGTGAACAACTCGTTTGCGCAATTCCAGACCTGGCTCCTTGTCCCACATCTCAATTGCAAGTGTTGTCGTCAGACATTTGCCTCCTTGAGAGCCTGCTGCGATCTGGCCCGCCTGTCTTCTTAGCTTCGTCAGCTCCGTCATGGAAAGGCCGAACGCTTGATATCCGTATGTGGCCTGGGACAGGGCGCCCGTAGACCAGAGTCCTTTGGTTTCTTTTGCCAGGGTAGTGCTTTTCCTCAGCCTCTTGATCTTGGCGAACCGTCTCTTAGCTGCCAGTATTCGTCTCTTGAGTGTGCGAACAACTCGTTTACGCCCAGCAGAAGCGTCGAGGCCTAGGTCCTTCGTGTATGTTTTGGCCTTGGCGGGTGTACCGTTCTGCTGCAACCTCTTCGCCACGCTCTTGGCCATGTCTCTGCTCGAGCCGATGACGACTGTCTTGTCCGAGATCTTGAGCCTCTGTTGACGAAGTCCTTGGGCGAGCTCGCAGGCCACTCTGACCATCTTGTCTGGGGTCTCCAGTGCCGTGCCCTCCTCTCGAGCCACAGTGTCATCGACGAATGTCCAGAGTCCAGCCGTCGGTGATATGATATGCGCTCGCTGTAGGATTGGGTGGAGGAAAACCTTCGCGAGGCTGACACCTCTGGGTGACCCCGCAACTATCGATCTGGATACCCATATTGCCTCGCTCAGCGACGACTTGTCTTTGAGAAAGCGGGCCGCCGCGAAGATGAGTACTTCCATTTCCACTACCACTGCTGGATAGCCGATGCCCCCAGCGATGCGCATCAGCAGCACCAGGCTGACGCTGTCGCAGAACTTCTCGATGTCCTCCAGCAGGGTGAGGCTGGAGATGCCCAGCTCGCATCCCGCCTCGTCCAGGCAGGCGCGGAGCAGTCCCGCTCGCAACGCCGAGCTGCTTTTGAGGGCCGTGTCCCAGTGCGCGCTCAGCGCCTCGCTCCATTCGCTGCAAGGTGACGCCCTCGTCCTGCTCCAAAGTTTGACTGGTAGGGGTAGCATCCCCAGCACTCTCTCACCACCTGCTGGTTTAGGGACCACAGCCCCGAGTGTAGCCGTCCACTGCCTCGGCCAAGTGCCCGACCGCTCGCGCATGTTGATGAGGTCGACCAGCTTCTGGCGTGCACTCTGCGGGGCCCTTTTGATGTCGTGCAACTTAAGACCGTCCACACCGCCAGCTTTGTTAGGGTTCGTGTCCTGCATTGCCGAGTCGAACTCCTCAATAGTGATCGGTTCCAAGTCTTCGTCTCTGGCCTGTCTGTGCATGACCTGCAGCTCCGACGCGATGTCCTCTCTGGTGTCCACTGCATCCGTCCAGATCTTTAGCCATTTCAGCCTCTTCGTGTGCATGAGAATCTCTGGGTCCGCCGAGCTTGCGTTCTGGTGGTACTGCTCGTATGTTGGCTGCACTGGATCTTTGACGTGCTTGTGAAGGATCCCTGGCTTCCCCGACCACATCTGCTTTGCCCACTTAGTGAACTGCTGCCGCTGTGTGGAGATGCCTCTGGAGACCGCAATTGCCAGGTGGTTTTCAATCTCATCCTTCAACCTCTCAAGCTCCTCCAGCGTGTGTGACTTGACCTCCTGCACCCGTAACATGCGCTCATCGGCGTCGTCATGAACCAAATTTTTACCAAAGATCTGATCCAATCCCATCCTTCTAAGCTGCTGGTAGGTCGTGGACAACTCCTTCTCGCACTGCCTCTGTTGCTTGTTGTCCGTGCCGTTGGACCTTAATGACTCATATCTGGTAATCAAGACTCCCATTATCGACCACAACTCTGCTGCTTGATACTTCATATGCGTGCGGCCTGGTGTGGCGTTCGATCTTTGCCATCTGATTGCAAACCCACCTCCTCTACCTCGGTGGGCATCAGCCTGCTCGGCGTCCATCATGTCTACTCCGATGATCGCCTCCTCCAGAGTGGTGACCCAGACCGCGCACTCGCCTGTGATCGCCTGCTCCATCAGCCTCTGATGCTCACTGCGAATGAGAAGGTTGGCCTCCAACTCGTGCATTTGCTTGGTCAACGCTGGCCCGATGGCGGTGCGACTGGCCTGTTCCCACTGGCCCTCGTCTATCGCGTACTGCACCGTCTGCTGCACCATGTTGGTCTGTGGGGGCTCGATACAGTTGAACTCCTCGCGCAAGTCCTCGGGAAGTTCTGCCAGTCTTTTCTGATGTGCTGCCTGCTTCGTCTTGCAGCGCCTTCTCTCTGGGTCGGGGGTCTTCTTGGGCGGGAGCACCAGCGGCAACGGCTTGGGGAGATCCAAATGCCTGTGCCACCAAGCCTCCGAACGCCCTGGTAACTTGAGCAAGAGCCCCGTCTGTGTCCTCCATGGTACTCTCGCATGTCCGTCGATGGTGATGCCTTCTGCTATGTCTTCTCGTGCCATGGCGAAATCTATGAGACTGCCCTTGCCCTCGTCGCATGTGACCTGAACCTTCGGAACGATCACCTTGCCTCCCAGGCGCGTGGGGAGGCCTGACTTCTCGACCAGGGTCGGGGGCATATTCCAATCTGCCATGATAACCCAAGGATCTGTGATGCTCCCCATGACCGTCGAGAGCGCCTTGATCTTTTCGAAGTTGCTGTCCTGCATGCCCTCCTTGGGAAGCAGGTAGAGGGAGAAGAGAACCACATTTCCCCCGCTGAGGTGGATAGTCATGGCCGTGAACCCTCTGAATGGGTCCTGTCCTCCTCGGGCCTTGATGGTCTCCCTCATCGCGTCGAACGTTGTGGTCGCCAAGTGCGCCTTGGCGATGAGCAGCTCGCCTCCGCTGTTGCCTTCCTTCGAGCGTCGCGTCGGTGTTGCTGCCGTGACTGATGCTTTCCATCCGTCTTTGCTCAGGTCTTTCTTCAGCTTCGCGATGCCTGACTGCGGCACATGGGACTCCGTGAAGGCAAATATCTGAGCTAGTTCCTGGCTCTCGTGGAGGAACTTCTGAGGCTTCTCGCCCCATTGTGTGATGTTGCTGAAGAAAATACTGGTGACCTTCGCTGGCTTGGCTGTCTCACATGTCTGCTTGCGAGCTCTCTCACTCTGGCTGCGCCGCCAGTCTTGACAAGCTGCGTCCACATCTGGCGCGGACGAGGAGGTGCGATCCCCGAGACACGGGGGCGAAGTCCCAGGGAGACCATGGAAGGCTGACCACTCGGGGGGGCGGCGGTGCTGGAGGCCAGTCCAGCGCTGCAGGCGGCTGCCATGGCGGGCTAAATACCAGCCCGACCAGAAGAATAGCCCGTAGCGCCGCCCGCAGCAGCCGTACCAGCCGTAGGTGAAGTGGTGGTCGCCCTCTGAGATGCCGCCCTGGTACGCTCCCTGTTCTCCTCGATGAGTTTGGCGATCGCTTCTGCCTTACGCTTTTCTGCATCTGGATCGCTGGCTTGTTGCTGTAGTGGTGTCTCAGGCTTGGCGTCTTGAGCAGGTGGTGGAACATGTGCGTGTGCTTGCCCTTCTTCGTTGATCCTGCGCTTCTTTGCCGCATGATCCGCCTTGATCTTCTTCGCGCTCTCGGCCATGGTGAGCAGAGCCTCCTGCTGCGTCTTGGCGCGCTCGAGCAGCTGCTGCAAGGACTTCGCGTCCTCCCTGAACTTTGCAAGCTGGTCCTTCTGAGTCTGTTCCAAATCCTCCTCGTCGGCGAAGAGGCTCTCGTCCACCTGGAAGCCCGCCTGCTCGGGCTTAGCCGCCGTGCCCTCCGCCACTGAGTGCATGTTGTATTCTTCCAGGGCCTTCGAGTGCTCCTGCTGTGCCTCGTAGACCTCCTCTGCTGCCTGCGCCACCTGCTCAGCGAGCTTGGCGAGCGCCTTCTCAACGTCCATGTGTCGCTTGGTGACTCCGTCGAGCTTAGCCTTGGCGGAATTGACCTTGCCGATTGCCTGCTTGAGAGCCGCAGACTTGGGTAACTCCTTCTTGGGCGGGGCGCACTTCTGGGAGATGGTGGTCTGCAGGTGCTCCAGCTGCTCCTGCATGCTCTGGTCGGGCCCCAGCTTGGAGACGGCGTGGGCCAGCTGCCTGCACACCACTTCCGCGTAGGTGCCCTTTGTAGGTTGGTCACCCCATGGTGGCTTGCGCGACGCCGAAGGATGCCCGCCCAGAGAGTGACGAACGAGTCGCACTTGGCGCAGCAGCCCCCATTGCGCTTGATCTTCCAGTCGTACGCCCAATTGTTGCAGCTCTTGCAGATAGACCAAGCCCATTTCTTGGACGGCGGCGCCATCGCACACACGTGGTGCCTGCTGCCGTCTGGGAGTGGGTCGATACGCTCCACCAGGAGCTCACAGGTTGAAAGAGAAACGTCGGGCAGAAACGCCCTGGCACTGGCCGCGGACTAGCGGTATCCACGTGTTCCCCTGTGGAACAAAGCATCTTGAGCCAAAATGGCTACGGAGGAGGAGGGAAGGAGGGGAAGGAGGAGAAGGAGGAGGAACAGGAGGAGGAGGAGGAGGAGGAGGAGGAGGAGGAGGAGGAGGAGGGGAGGAGGAGGAGGAGGGAGGGGGAGGAGGGAAGGAGGAGGAGAGGAGGAGGAGGAGGAGGAGGAGGACCGCAGGTCCCAGGCCCACTCCCGGGGCCCAGTGCCTGGCAGAGGTTTTTTTGGAGCGGAGGCGCAGCCGTGGCGACGAGGAAAACCCTGCAGAGGCGCCCGGCAGCCTCCGAGGCAGTCGACGAAGTCGTCGTACAGTAGCAGCCGGCGCCAGCCTCCTCTTGAGACGCCTGCCCCCCTCTCCCTACAGCAGGAGCTCGGCCGCCAGAGACCTTCCACGAGAAGCCCGACCCTGGGACCCCAGGGCGTGCATGGAGTTTTGGTGTGGCAGCGTCGCGCAGTCCATGGCAGAATCGTCGAAGCCCAAGAAACCCAGGGCACCCTGGAGGCAAGCAGGGTGTTTCTTGGCATGGGTTTGCACTGTAGTCGTCGTCGGCGTCGCGGATCGAGGACAGGGGGTGGCGGCGGTCCTTCCCGCCGACATGGTACCCGATGTTCTCGAAGCCCTGGGCGAACTCCGAGACCTCAGCACCATTCCCCGCCTTCCCCCCACTCAGCTCGGCCTCTACCTCCTCCTCCTCCTCCTCCTCCTCCTCCTCCTCCTCCTCCTCCTCCTCCTCCTCCTCCTCGAAGGGAGGGAGATGGGGGAAGGGAGGAGGAGGAGGAGGGAGGAAGGAGTGACAAGATGAATCAAGGAGGAGGGTGGGAGGGAGGAGGGTGGGGGAGCGCCCGCCAGATGAGCTGGCCACTCTGCGCGCGAGCTTGCACACGCTGGCGCGGCCGCAGAGATGCGTCCGTCAATGCCAAGCCACCAGCGCAATCGCCACCGCATGGGCTTTGCAAACCGAGCTGCGGGCGGTAGGGTAGGATGATTGCGCGAGCAGTGGAGTTGGCAGCCTCAAGTTCTGCAACGCGGAGTGCACCGACTGAGGGCAGCACCCAGGTTGCACAACAGGCACTGCACAGCAGAGATCGCATCACACATAGTGCACCATGCCACATCAGTAGGGGCCCACGCTAGCTAACACACACAGACATAC